GGTGCAGTGCAGTCTTTGACGGGACCGTCCTTCTGGGCGGTCAACCGCCACTCGCCACTCTCTTTCACTGAACCAGAGCAGTGACAGCTGCTGAAGCAGCAGCAACAGCCAAACAGCTGGATGAAATCTTGCTGTTGCCTCTCTCTCTCTCTCTCTCGTTTCTCCCAGGTCTGTTGCTAATCACTAGCTGCTGTTTGGAGCTGCTACTTTCCAGAAACTGAGCAGCCGAAACTCCACTGTTTGTTATCTACTGGCCTTCAGCTGCTGTTGTTGCTGTGGTTCGGCAATGATGGTGATGACGGCGGCGGCGGCGTCGTTCACTGGACGCTCGTTTCCCTTGCTGCCGTCGTCGTCGTCGCTGATAATGCCTCTTCAGCCTCCTCTGTTCGTTCGTTTGTGTGGAAAAGACGAGAGGATGAGAAGAGCAGGCTGCAGCTACGTCCTCGTCGTTGAAGACTGCTGCAGCACATCATTATTAACTGCTGCCTGCCTATGCTGAATGTTGCCATGAACTTGAGACAGGGAAGAGAGGGAGAACAAGAGAGGGAGCAAACAGGCAGTGCATGTGCGAGAGCAGACGAGCGTGATTCTGCTCAGCCATCTCATTAAATCGACAACGACGGTCTTCGAACTTCGAAGCGAAAGTTGTTGTGTTCATCGTCGAGGAGGGAGAAGGGAGCTTTCCGAAGCAGAGAAGCGGTCTGACGGCCATCACCGGCTGCAGGAGCACAACCACTACTGCTACCACCACCACCACCGCCATCATCACAGTCATCATCATCATCATCAAGTTAGCTTCGTTCTGTTCAGTCAGTTCAGACGCTGTTGCTGTTGGCGCTGAGCTGCTGAGGACGATGTCTCGAGGTCTCTCAGGTAGTTGAGTAGTTGTCTGCTGCTGCTGTTTCTGCAGGTGAGTCTCCGCGGCAGTAGCNTGTCTGCTGCTGCTGTTTCTGCAGGTGAGTCTCCGCGGCAGTAGCTCAAATGAATATTGGCAGTGCGCACTGTGTCCTCTCTCTCTCTCTCTCTGACGCACGTGTGTGTATATGTGCTGAACTGGCCATGGCACTGAAAATATACTGCCATGGCCAGTATGCATGTGTGCATGTGTTTCCTCTTCTCTTCTTTCTCTTATCGGCAAATGTTCATCCTGGTCATATAATGGTTTCTCTCTCTCTCCCTCTCCGGAATGGCTGACCAAATGGCCTGAATCTGCATGTTCAGTGTGCACTATGCACTCTGACTACTTCTTCAAAGTNTGTGTTTCCTCTTCTCTTCTTTCTCTTATCGGCAAATGTTCATCCTGGTCGTATAATGGTTNGCCAGTATGCATGTGTGCATGTGTTTCCTCTTCTCTTCTTTCTCTTATCGGCAAATGTTCATCCTGGTCATATAATGGTTTCTCTCTCTCTCCCTCTCCGGAATGGCTGACCAAATGGCCTGAATCTGCATGTTCAGTGTGCACTATGCACTCTGACTACTTCTTCAAAGTTGCTGCTGCCCTTTGGCCTAGCTTTTGGGTGCTTTTTCCTGCTGCAACTCACTAATTGCTCTGATTTATTTGCCTTAGTCCCTCATGGCAGCAGCCAGAGTGGTCAGTGCCGGGAGAGCAAGTGTGAAGTTCTTTTGCTCTGGAAACGAAGCGACAGCACCACCACCACCACCACCACCGCCGACGGAGACCTGTTGTAGAGCAGTGTTGGCTCATTGTGGAGCAGTCCAACACTGGGGGACTTGTTAAAGTCCAAGCCTCAGTTTCAGCGTCTGCTCTACCTACCTACCTGCAGCTCCTGTTGCCTGTCGACTACGACTGTCAGTCTAATGACTCTGGCAGGTCGCAGTCGGTGGTGATATCAATGGACGCAATAATGGGGCCAATATTGCCGCCGCCACTGATTGCCCACCACAAAAGGCTTTAGGCAGGGAGCAGAAAAAAAGTGGTACGTGGGGCCTAGTCAGGCTGCCGCATTTTAGTCAATAGATAGAAAACAAGCAATGTAGTCAAACAGAAAAAAGGTAGGCTTGGTATGGCATGGAAAAGAAGGGAAAGGTTTTGCTGCTGCTTCTGCTGAAGACAGACATTGAAAATAAAAAGCTGCCTGACGTCCGTCGCACATTGTGCCATTGTGCAAAAACGAACGAAGAGAAGGGGAGAAAGAGAGGGTCCTCGCCGACTCTTCTGCGAGGACTTCGTCGTAGTGTCGAGTCGACACTGTCGACAGTGGTTGTGGCGACAGTGACGCAGCCAAATGATGGCCGTGCTGCCAGTGATAATACGCACTTGCACGGTGACTGCCACCGCCGCTAANGAGAGAGAGAGAGAGAGAGAGAGAGAGAGAGAGAGAGAGAGAGAAAGGTAAAGGTAAAGTCTGAAGACCACTGGACTAATCCTGTGCTGGTCGTTGTGGACAGTGGAACAGTGAAACTATCTCTAGCTGAAGACTTAAACTAATAAGCGAGGAGCTCATTTACGACAACAACTACTACTACTACCGGTTGTAGTTAACGAGAAAAAGGGGAAGAAAGAGGGCCAGGGACGNCGACAGTGACGCAGCCAAATGATGGCCGTGCTGCCAGTGATAATACGCACTTGCACGGTGACTGCCACCGCCGCTAAACGTAGTGTTCACAAGCAAGTGCTCAAGGAGGAAAAGTGAGAGAGAAAGAGAGAGAAAGGTAAAGGTAAAGTCTGAAGACCACTGGACTAATCCTGTGCTGGTCGTTGTGGACAGTGGAACGGTGAAACTATCTCCAGCTGAAGACTTAAACTAATAAGCGAGGAGCTCATTTACGACAACAACTACTACTACTACCGGTTGTAGTTAACGAGAAAAGGGGGAAGAAAGAGGGCCAGGGACGGGGGACACCACAGGAGCACCTCGCCGTACCTCTCGCATAAATTCGTCAGATGGGAACAATTTCTGGCTGAAATGAGGTGCCCTGCTGCAAGCACTACTAGCACATGCACATTTGTCCGTCACCAGTGTGTGTGTGTAAAGAGCTGTTTGACAGCTAGTTGGACTGATTCTGAACACGGCTGGATCAAGGCTAGAGTTTTCCCAGCAGCAACTACAGCAACTACCAATGGACCCTTGCGTGGAATAGACGGCTGATACTGCTGCCGCTGTCGCAACCTCAACTGCCACTGCAGCAGCAGCAATTGTCCTTGCAGTCATCAGCCTCGTGAGTGTTCTGTTCTCTGTTTGATAGCCTCCGATGCCGTCTGTTCGCAGACGGCTGTTCTCTCTTTCTTTCTTCTCTCTCTCGCTCTTTTCCTCGTCGCCGACTACTGCTCTGTGAGTTTGCCTGGCCAAGTCAGCCTGGGCAAGCCGACGCCCGCCGCTTTGCCACTACCACCGCACAATGAGCACTGGCACTACTAGTGTGTGCCTGTGCAGTGCAGTGGAAGTCGCTCGGGGGAGCAGGACAGCAGCGGCCATAGCAGCAGAAGCTGCAGCAGTAGCTCATCAGTCGTCAGTCGTCCGGGCAGAGAGTGTGCGAGTGTGAGTGTGAGTGTTAGGCTAGAAGACACAGAGAGTACTGACTGACTGATTGGATCCCCAGTGCTCTTCTTCGATTCAAATTCTTTGCCCTCAGCAGTACCATCGCAGCAGCACTAGCTCAACCACCACCACGACGACTACGACCACGACCACGATCCGACCATTGCCAGTGAGTGAGTGAGTGCCGCTGATGCATTGTGAAGAACAGCACCACCACCATCCACAGCCACCAACACGATTGCAGTTGAGTCTGTTGTTTGAATTGGCAGTGGCGGTGACCTGCTACTGCCGCCGAAGCGAACAGAGAGACTGCTTTGTCCTTCCAACAGACGGTGCACACACACCAACACACGACCCTGCTTGCCAAAGTGACTAGTGCTCTCTCGCTCAGGACCGAGGACGAGAGAGAGAAAGAAAGAGAGAGAGGGGCTCAAGTTGCAGCAGCGAGGGATCAGCGTTGAAGGGGCATTCTCTGCCGCAGAGTGGACCCCATGACCAGCAGAGGCAGCAGCAGCAGAGCCTGGGCTGCCTGACTAGCACCACCACGACCACCACTACGACCATGGCTGATCGGTTCGACTACTGACTGACTAAAGTGTGTGGAATTTCCTACCGAGCAATACACGGCCAAAAGAGGGAAAATTCTCAGTGTTGAACTTTCCTTTGGCTGATTATCAGCTAGTTCCTCTTCATCATCATCATCATCATCCTCCACTTCATCCTATCTTCACCTTTTTATAGCCACCTATCGACAGCATTATCAGCTCAGCTACTCAGGATCAGCATCACCATAGATGGCAGTTGGTGGGCCCACTGGCGGAGAGGTCGTCTCCACGTCACGTCGGCACTTTACCAGCTCCACCAACGGCGTCGGCGGCTACCACAATCACCACCATCACCACCATCACCCTCACCACCATCCTCACCATCACCCTCATAACCCTCATCACCACCACCTGAACGGCGGCGGCGGTGGAGGTACCACCACTACCACCACCACAGCAGCACACCCTCACCATCACGGCCCAGGCGGCAAGCGTGACCACCAGCTCTCCTCGTCCACCTCTTCGCTGTCGGCCATGGTGTCCAGTGCCCATCACCAGCACCACCAGCAGAATCAGAATCACCACGGTCCTCACCACCACTTGAATCCTCACCATCAGAACCATCACCAACAGCAACAGCAACAACAACAGCAGCAGCACACGGCCATGCTCAATGCCCACACTGCCTCCTTCTACGCTGCAGCGGCGACCATCATCGCCCAGCCAACGGTGGGACCGCCATCAAATCAGCTGCTGGTGCACCATCCCGACTACCTTCAACCGAACCTTCAACACCACCCTCAGCAGCATCACTTTCAGAGTACGAACAACGTGTACGGTGGACCACTGGCAGCCCACAATAATAATAACAACAACAATGGCATCAGCGGCGGTCATAGCCACTCAAACTCGAGCACCGAATCGAGCACTGGAAGTTCGAGCAGTGGCCTGCCAGGCAGCTCCACCAGCAATGGCAGCACTGGCAGCAGTGACCCTCTGCCTGACCGTCCCATTGGCTATGGAGCATTTGGCGTTGTCTGGTGAGTGGTACCTTCTTCTGCAATGTGAATCATTGCCATAATGATGATGATTGTGATGGTGCATGAAGGGAAGCATCCCTTTGCTGTTGCTGCTGCTGCCTTTCAGCTGTCTTTTGGCCACTATTGTTCAATGGCAGCTCCACGGCAACTGTTGCCCACCACCGCCACCACAGTTCAGTTAGTCGCCCAGTGAGATAGCCAACTCACGGCTATCTGATCGTTCACATGCCCTTTGCAGAGCTTCGATTGTCATGTAGGTTAGGGCTAACTTTGTGGCAGTATGCTGCTGCTGCTGGTGGTGCTAGTTGTGGAAGTGGAGGTGATGGTAGCCACTGGCCGCCACTCTGTGACGCCGACAACGACGACGACGACGACAACGTCGGCGGACGGCGGACACACTGTGGTGCATTTTTAATTGGCGAAATTGCAGACAGAGAGAAACAGAAAGGCACAGAGTAGCACTATCAGGGGACGGCAATCACCGCCAATTAGTGTCGGTGATTGGAGATACCGTTTAGGTTGGAAGATTTTAGATTGTTCTTTTTTGCGTCTATTTTCTATAGCGTTTCCCTTTTGCATTCGTTGCACTTTGCACTCTGTGCACTAGTATCACATCAAATTCAACTTGAATCTATATATCTTTCTAGGTCTGTAACTGATCCACGTGATGGAAAGGTGGTGGCACTGAAGAAGATTCCCAATGTCTTTCAGAATCTCATCTCCGCTAGGAGGGTCTACCGGGAGATGAGGATGCTCTCCTTCTTTAAACACGAAAATGTAAGTGACCCTTTTATTGTGCTTTTGTTCATCTTAACCCCAAATGTTGCCATTTATTTTGTTAGGTTCTCTCTGCCTTAGACATTCTGCAGCCTCCTATGATTAACTTTTTTCAGGAAATGTGAGTACTTTGCCCATATCCGGAACCCTTATCAAGCAACAATTCGTCTAATGATCACCCCCTGAACTTTCACAGTTACGTCATCACCGAGCTGATGCAGAGTGACCTGCACAAGATTATCGTCTCTTCGCAGCCGCTGACGACGGACCACATAAAGGTCTTTCTGTACCAGATTCTTCGAGGTCTGAAGTACCTTCACTCGGCGAGGATACTGCACCGTGATATTAAACCAGGCAATCTACTAGTGAACAGCAACTGTTTGCTCAAGGTAAGTGAGAAAGAATGGAGTGAAGTGTTGATAGACAGACAGTGAAATAGCTGTTGCCGCACATACCGCATGTTGAGGACAAATACCGAGGCTGAGAATGTAGGTAAAAAGTGCCGTACAATTGAAAGGAAAAAGTGTTTCGTTGGCTAGCCCTCTCTTGCACAGCGGCAACTCAGTCAGTCAGTCAGTCGAAGTTGTGACTAAGTTAATGAACTTCCTACTTGCTACACTTTGGCGGCTATTTCTTGGCAGGCACTCCTTTGCTTCCTAATGACGATGCCAGCTGTGCACTGCTCACATTCTCCTTTCCCTCATTGTCAGTCATTAAGACAGGATGATACGAGCTGGGGTTTTGCCTGCTGCTGTTGTTACAGCTGTGGTAACTTACTTGGAATCGACTCAACAAGCGGCAGTTGTTCTCACCTCGACAACATTTGTGCTATTTTTATAAACTCCCCCGACTGTCGTTTTTATTATGATGATGATGATGCCGCCTTCTCATCACCCCAAATTCTAATCACCTTCTCTTCTTCCCTCGTGATTGCCTAGATTTGTGATTTTGGCCTAGCCCGAGTGGAAGAGCCCGACCGAAGCCGCTGCATGACCCAGGAGGTGGTGACGCAGTACTACCGAGCGCCGGAGCTGCTCATGGGCGCCCGCTACTACACCGAGGCCATCGACATGTGGTCAGTGGGCTGCATCTTTGCCGAACTGCTCGGCAGGCGCATTCTTTTTCAGGCACAAACTCCTATTAAACAGGTGTGTATTTTAAACCCTAGATTGTTTGTTCAGTCCACTANCCGACCGAAGCCGCTGCATGACCCAGGAGGTGGTGACGCAGTACTACCGAGCGCCGGAGCTGCTCATGGGCGCCCGCTACTACACCGAGGCCATCGACATGTGGTCAGTGGGCTGCATCTTTGCCGAACTGCTCGGCAGACGCATTCTCTTTCAGGCACAGACGCCCATTAAACAGGTNGATTTTGGCCTAGCCCGAGTGGAAGAGCCCGACCGAAGCCGCTGCATGACCCAGGAGGTGGTGACGCAGTACTACCGAGCGCCGGAGCTGCTCATGGGCGCCCGCTACTACACCGAGGCCATCGACATGTGGTCAGTGGGCTGCATCTTTGCCGAACTGCTCGGCAGGCGCATTCTTTTTCAGGCACAAACTCCTATTAAACAGGTGTGTATTTTAAACCCTAGATTGTTTGTTCAGTCCACTAAAACTCCTTCTTCTACCATCACCCTAGCTCGATCTGGTGACTGACCTGCTGGGCACTCCTATGGCAGAGGACATGAAGTACGCTTGTTCTGCGGCGAGGACGCACATTCGTACTCAACCGTACAAGACACCAGCCCTTGCCTCGCTGTACACACTCTCGCAGTACACCACCGCCGAGCCGGTGCACCTTCTCTGTCAGATGTTGACCTTCAATCCGGTAAGGGAACATTTTATATTTCAAAGACCGTGTAGCTAACTATTTGTGTGTGTGTACAGGACAAGCGAATCAGCGCCAGCGGTGCCCTGGCCCACTCGTATCTGGTTGAGGGCAGGGCCCGGTACCACTCGTGCATGTGCAAGTGCTGCTACAATGTGGGCGATGTTCGGCGGTACGCCGCAGAGCTGGAGCCCACGGCACCGGTTCCCTTTGACAACTCATTCGAGAAGGAGCTCACCTCTGTGCACATTGTTAAGGGTATGTTTGGACTTGTCTACTGTTCTAAATGACAAAAACTAACCACCTAATCAAAATCCAACAGATCGTCTGCATAAGGAGATCATGTCGAGGTGCATGTCCTCCAATCGAGTGCCTCTCTGCATCAACCCTCTCTCGGCGACTTTTAAGAACTTTGCTAGGTAAGGGACTGACTGGTCGGAAATGTTTTCACACTTTAACTAACATTTACGTCATCTACTCAAACAGTTCTAGCGTTGCCCATCCCTCCGAGCTGCCTCCCTCGCCTCACTGCTGGGAATGACCGCGAGCACCCCGGGCGACGGCTGCCTTCTCAGCTAGGTCCTCCACAAAGCAGCATCAGCCTCCTCCTCCCTCCTCCTCCTCTTATAAAAGCCGTCGCTCGCAAGGGTAGCCCCTGGTCACTTTCCTCTTTCTCTCCATTCACGTGATACACCCAATCTTCATCAACTGATGTGTGATTCTTCTCGTGTACAAAGCGTCCTCACTTGCAAACTCTTCAGTATCACCGGTCTCGCCGGTGTCGAACCAGAGAACCGGGAACCGATCTCAGCGATTGCACCTCTATTTTTGTCTACTCTAATCCCCTGCTCTACCCCCTCAACCTCTTTGCCCTCAACTAAAGTGTCTCACTCTCAACACATCTCCTCTGGTGAACAACCGTTCAGCTTTCTCTCCTACTCCGAAGCTCGTCCTCACCAGTGACCAGTGCCTACTTCCCCAACCACCACTTCCGTCCACTTTATCTCCCGACTCGTCTCTGCGTGTCTCCCTTTGTCCGTCCAGTCCACTATCTTCTTCTATTTCTTTTGTTCTTTTTCTCCTCCTTTTTTTGGACTCTCAATGTACTTCCCAATGGATCTCGTTGCATATCTTGCTCACTAAACTCACTCACTCTCACTCAAACACACGCCCACTATTGCTGCCATTTCCATTGACCCCCTCCCTCATTCATCACTAGCACCACACCATCATTGCTCAAATTCTTCTCCAAACAACCTTTGTACTAAACTCAGCTATTTTGTATATGAATTCAATAAAGAAAATCAAACTAATTTCAGTGTCATGACAGTTGCCATGTTTGATCAGAAATGATTTACGAGTTGCTATTCCTGTTAGTTTGTACTTTATTTATTAGACAACAGTTGCAACAACGTGTGTGGCCTTTGCCGTTTACATATCATCATCTTCTTCAACAACAACATTACCTCCACATTCGCTTACACTGAACAAAGACGCACTAGTAAAATCAGCAGATGAGCTTCTTACTTCTTGTTGACAAAGTCCTCGCCCTTCTTGATGCTGGCCTTCAGCTCGGGAATAGCGTTCTTGATCAGCTCCTGCTCGTACTTGTTCACATTGCCGATGCCCAGGTTCTGCGCAAGGCCGTTCTTTCCGAGGACCAGCGGAGTGGCAAAGTAGGTGGACTCGGTCACGTCAGACTTGACAAAAGCGCACTCCACCACCTTCTCGCCGTTCATTCCTCGTAGCAGCTACACACGCACACAATTGACAATGGAGGGGAAAGAGTGTTAATTAGTCAATCAAACAACAAAGAGAGCCGTTTATAGTACGTACCGAAATTGCAAAGCGAGCGCCGGCAAAAGCCATCGAAAGAGTGGCAGAGCCCTAAAGAGAAAAGAGGTCATTGAATGGAATGAGAGAGAAATGTATAGCAGCAGTGTACGTACAGCTCCGGCCTTGGCCTTCACCACCTCAGTGCCGGCGTCCTGGATGCGCTTCGTCAGCGCGTCCACCTTGTCGTCGGGGAAGGAGACCGCCGGGTTGGCACGCGACAGCAGCGGGATGATGGTGATGCCAGCGTGGCCGCCAATGACGGGCACATCGACGGTGGCAGGGTCCAGGCCCTTCGCCTCGGCGATGAAGGTGTTGGCACGAACCACGTCCAGTGAGGTGACGCCGAAGATGCGGTTCGGGTCGTAGACGCCCGCCTTCTTGAACACCTCAGAGGCGATGGGCACGGTGGAGTTGACCGGGTTGGAGATGATGGCCAGGCAGGCCTTCGGGCAGTTCTTCGCCGCCGCCTCCGCCAGATCTCGGACGATGGAGGCGTTGGTGTTGAACAGATCGTCACGCGTCATGCCGGGCTTTCGCGGCACACCGGCGGGAATGACCACCACGTCGGCGCCCTTGAGGGCGTCCGCCAGCTGCTCGGCACCGACGAAGCCGGTCACGCGGGCCTTGCTGTTGATGTGGCTCAGGTCGGCCGCCACACCCGGAGTGTGGGCAATATCGTAGAGAGCTGCCAGAGAGAGGAAGAGAAATAGAACATTAGAATTCACCGATGACCGACTTGACTTTTGCCAATGACATTACCGAGGTCGGTGACTAGAGGACTTTGCTTGAGCAGCAGCGAGAGCGGCTGTCCGATACCGCCTGAGGCACCGAGCACGGCGACCTTGGCATTGCACTGTTTGTGGAAGGAGGGCAAGAAAAGAGGTTCAATAAGCCGGTGAACTTGAAAAACGATGTCAAAAACATCTGTACATATTCTCCATCTTTAAGGAGAAGTGCCTGTCTGTTTGCCTACCTGAGAGCCGGTGGAGAAGGCTCGGGAGATGAGTCTGCTGGAGAACATTTTGCAGTGTTTTTCGAGTAGAAAGGTTCGAAGGTGAGAGAGGGTGATGAGGCGGTGGCGGTGGAGGAGGAAGAGATGATGTGAGGCAGACGGCGAGATGCTAAGCAAGTGACTGAGAAAGAGAGCGAGAATGCCTGCTGACCTTACCAGAGTCCTTATTGGAAGTGCTGGCAGTGCGGCTGGCATCTGACGCCATCTGTCGCCCAGAAAAGCGCCCAGCGCCCAGTTGCGCCTCCAAACCGTTTCGAGGAGCAACTGAGAGAGTTTGCGAGTGAGCAGCTGGCATCAGCAGCAGCCACAACAATCTCTTCTAGCCATCATCATCATCGTCCATCATCAACAGCAACTGCAGAAGCACTGCTACCACTCTTTTTATCGTCTTGGAGTTCATTTACTTTCCACATCAACCACTGCTAGCTGGGAGCCCTAGCCTCGGCCCCAGGCAGTGTGGAGAGCTAGTCTCCTCTGCAGCGAACTCTCTCTGTGCGTCTTTCTAGCAGCTCTTTTTTCTACATTGTTTTCATCACCTTGCTCATCATCATTAGCCTTTGCTTTTCTACTATTTCTAAGCACCGTTTCTTCTTATCACCACCTCCCTCCTTTACTTAATTGTGATCCAAAATCTACTTCTGGTTGTGAGCACACTACTTCGCTTCAGATTTCTCCACTTTGGCTTTTATTCTCTCCCCTCTCTCTCAACCGTTATTCAGCTGATCTCATCCGCCACCANTCTCTCTCTCTCTCTCTCTCTCTCTCTCTCTCTCTCTCTCTCTCTCTCTCTGTGCGTCTTTCTAGCAGTTCTTTTTTCTACATTCTTTTCATCACCTTGCTCATCATCATTAGCCTTTGCTTTTCTACTATTTCTAAGCACCGTTTCTTCTTATCACCACCTCCCTCCTTTACTTAATTGTGATCCAAAATCTACTTCTGGTTGTGAGCACACTACTTCGCTTCAGATTTCTCCACTTTGGCTTTTATTCTCTCCCCTCTCTCTCAACCGTTATTCAGCTGATCTCATCCGCCACCACCACCACCACAACATGTCGCCTTTTTGTATCATCATGTGAAGAATGCGTATCAAGAAAGGAAGAGCAAAGTCGAAAAAGAGCAGCCTCTGATAAGCACTCGCATTTCTCTTCCACCTCTTCATCTGATCACCAATTTGTTGCTCGTAGCAGTAGAACATATGGCTCTAATTACGATTGAGCGAATTATCCCTGCTACCGTACAAAGTAGTCTGATGCTCAATTCGCCTCAGGTAAAATAACCATTGTCCTGCTTGCTTGTTCTGGATCGTAGCTAATCGAAATCAAACCACTTTTCAGAATGATTTGCAAGAAGAAGAACGTTTAACGGAAATATACATATCAGTCCGTGGGGCTGATGTCGTATTTCCGTACAATGAGTGTCACAGCTTCTCGAAAACGAGCTACAAGACCGTATTTTCTGATATTCAGAAGCACTTGCAGGCAATCTTGAAACTTCTCAGGCCAAATGATAAGATGAAAATGGTTTGTACTTTAAACTTTGCTTTTCAAATACTTTCGAAATTCACTAATCTTTACTTCATCTTTGTAGGCTGTTCGCCTTGAGTCGCTGAACATGAACTCGACTCGCACCCGTTACCTCCTGGTGGTGGTCAACGGTGCCGATGAGAGCTGTCTTCTAGGCATCGATTACGAGAATGAAGCCACCATCGGCCTCGTCCTGGCCATCTACAACGATATGGTCATTTCGCTGGACGGTGACGGGTAAGAGACCCTTTGTCTTTAACAATCATCAACAAAAAACTCTAACAAATATGCTCCACAATCTTCAGTGGATTTCGAATCACCAGCGGCACTCGGCATCACATCTTCAAACCCGTTTCAGTTCAGGCCATGTGGTCTGCCTTTCAGGCGCTGCACCTGGCTACGAAGAAATCAGTGAAGAACAACTACTTTGAGGGCGGGAGCTCCCACTCGTGGATCAGCTACTACCAGGAGCGAATTAAGTCCAAGTCCTTCTACCTTCATGAGTGGCACACCATCACCGATGCTTCAGAGACGACCAACAATCTCTATGAGTACACCAACAAGTATGTCAAACATTGCTGCTTACGGAGTGTTGCATATTTACATTTTTCTTCCTATGCGCAGACCTGCTGAGCAGTTGAACTTTGAAGAGCTGATCACGGCCAATCTCAAGAAGATTATGATGTCAGTGGACCTGGAGCAAGTCACCTCAAAGGAGATTCGCAGCGAGCTAGAAGGCCGACTGAGGCGCGACTTGACGGAGTTTAAGTCGTACATTGACAAGGAGATGATCAGGATAATGGGACAGATGGACGAGGCTTCGAAGATACTGGATTACCTCTACCTCGGCTCAGAGTGGAACGCCTCCAACTTTGAGGAGCTGAAGGGAAAGGGCGTCAAAAAGATACTTAACGTTACCAGTGAGATTGACAACTTCTTTCCCGGCTCTTTCGAGTACTACAACATTCGCGTGGAGGACTCTGAGACGACAGACATGTTGAGGTACCTCAATGACACCTACAACTACATCAACAAGTCAAAGTGAGTTTGCAGCTTGAAGGCTTTCAACTGTGTTTGCTAACCATTTGTGAACTTTCAGATCGGAAGGTCCCGTCCTGGTGCACTGTAAGAAGGGCATCTCTCGGTCGGCCAGTGTCGTCGTCGCCTACATTATGAAGGAAAAAAACTGCAATTTGCTCGAGGCACTGGAGTATGTGAAGAAGATGCGCAGTACCATTCGACCGAATCCAGAGTTTCTAAAGCAACTGGAAATCTACCAGGGAATGCTCAATGCGAGGTGAGTGTTTTCATTTTTACAAAGTTTGACACTAAACTTCTTTTGATTTGCAGCAACAAGAACAGCAACGTTTGGCGATCAAACTCCGAGTCTGACCTGAAGGAGATGTTCACGAAGAAGGCGAAGAGCAAACACTGTGATAGTTCATTCTCTATGACCGGTGGCAGACAGAGACTGAATGGCAAGCAGAGTGGCGGCAGACTGCAGCGAACGGGAGAGGACAAGGAGAACCACTCCTCACTGAAGAACCACTTTCAGATTAGCCACCGACGGCGCTCTTGGCCGCCGAAGGAGGCGGCGTGCAATGAGGCAGCTTCTGGCTACCACTTTTTCTTCAACAACAACCACGGTGATAAGAAGAACGGGCAGAGACGGCCTCACCACTTTACCTCTTCGGGCTTCTACCTCGGTGATGACAGTGATATGGAGAATCTGTTCAGTGAAATCAACAAGTCGCAATCAATACGATCTCGTGTCAAGGAGCGCATCGAGGGATTCGAAAAGTTTAAGGTTTGTTGGCGTGTTTATCGCCTTCTCAATCTCAGTTCACTGACTATCACCCTCTTTTCTCTTTTCCCTTTCAATAGTCGCCGGATAAGAGTCAGTCAAAGAAGAACATTGCCAACAACGGACTGGTGTCCAATTTGGCGAATCAGTTTGAGTCAAAGGACAAGGAGGCGGCAATGAATGACCTGTCCAATTTGGAGCAGTTTCAACAGCAGCAGCAGCAACAACAGCAGCCACTTACTGGAAGAGGTGTTGCCAGCATGGCAAAGCCTCCACTGCCTCGAGAATCAAAAGCCGAATCGGATGGCTTTGACATTGGCATCTGTCTACCTGAAAACCAAGGCACTGAAGAGGATAAATGTGGACAGGAAGAGGAGGAGGAAGATGAAGAATCAACGGCAATGCAGCAGTCAACTGAACTACAGCAGCAGCAGTTGCAGCCCCACGACATGACCTTTGTCTTTCAGAGCTTGAGCNGCGGCAATGAATGACCTGTCCAATTTGGAGCAGTTTCAACAGCAGCAGCAACAACAGCAGCCACTTACTGGAAGAGGTGTTGCCAGCATGGCAAAGCCTCCACTTCCTCGAGAATCAAAAGCCGATTCTGATGGCTTTGACATTGGCATCTGTCTACCTGAAAACCAAGGCACTGAAGAGGATAAATGTGGACAGGAAGAGGAGGAGGAAGAGGAAGAATCAACGGCAATGCATCAGTCAACTGAACTACAGCAGCAGCAGCAGTTGCAGCCCCACGACATGACCTTTGTCTTTCAGAGCTTGAGCACGCGAAGTGAATACTCAAATCGAATTTTGAAGCGTACCCTTTCTTGTGATCACATTCTAGGCATATGTCAATTGAAGAAGAACAGCAACAGCAACCTTCACCAGCACTCGACAGCAGCGACGGCGCCTGCGACTGATGAGTTCTCGCTGAAAAAGTCCAAGAAGAGCTTCGCCGACCAGCGTCGGCAGCAGTTGCAGTTTGTTCCTGGTTCACCATCATTAGCAGCAGCCGAAGTGTCCAGTGGTGAAGGTGGGGGTGGTGGTGGCTGCGGTCACTCGGCGCCTCTGTCATCGACGCCACTCTCCCGAACCCTAAGTTTGCCGAATATCTCGCTCAATTCGCTGAGTGTGAAGAAGCGAATCAACCACAACTACAGTACAATGCTACTGCGTCAGACGACGACCTACCTGAGATCGGCGCCGCTTGATTTGCACTACATTCGCGCTCAAATCAGCAAGCAGATACAGGCGGCAGCAGAGGCTGAAGGTAACGGCGGTGCTGCTGGTGCTGCTGGCGGTGGTTCCTTTGTCAAACGGCGAACTGAAGAGCTGGAGGGCAAAAGTCAACAGGATCTACAGCAGCAGCAGCAGCTGTTGCCGACTGCTTCAGTGAAGTTGAACAAATCCAAAAGCATGCCCTCCTCACCGAACTTTCACTTTATCACCTCGGGCGCCGCCTCTGCCGAGCGGGAAATTGTTCAGTCTTCTGCCACCTCCTCCTCATCCGTCCTCGATCCTGCCACTGCTGCTGTTGCTGCTGCTGCTGAAAAGGGCCGACCACTACAGTACTCGGTCTCTGCGAAGTCCTTTGACTTTCCGCTGATGTCACCCAAGGACAGCTCACCACTCGAGTCGCCGTCTGAGCACCATGAGTCCTCGCAGATGCACTCTTCGGGAAAGAAGAGTCACAAGCGGACATATGGTCGCAGTCACCCACTGTACAATCTGCACACTAAATGACAGTTGTGTAGCACATCGGCAACCACCACCACAACCACCACCAATATCACCACTACCACCGGCACCGGTCTCTCTTTCTCTCAACCCTGCTAGTCACTATACAAATATTAGGTTTTCACATTCGCCGGTCAATGTCAGTGAGCTGCAAACGTCAAGTCACCCGAAAGGATAACAGATGGCAAGGAGTAACAAATTGCCTTGTAAATATCGCATCACCGAACACACCTACCGCCCACCCACCCCTACACTCACACACGAACACTCTTTCCTTGCCATTTCTTTGTATTAATTACCACCTCCAACACACACTCACACAAACCCTACTTTATTCGTGCAAATATACCAAAGAATAGCTATGTAACAAGCTTACATCTTCGCCCAGATAAAACAAATGGTTTCAGCCCTTTCCGTTCAACGTGGCAGTTTTATTTGGATGAATTTGTGTTTGGTGAAACTGCAACCGGTGGCACCTGAACACAGTATAGAACGCCTGATTTTATTACTTTTTCTCCTAATGACCACCACATTCTTCTGTGCTGAACTCTGGCTGTGCCCCGCCGCTTTGGATCGCTTTCATCTCCTGGTGTTTAGAGAGCTGGCGGCTACAAGGGGGGAGGGTTGCCTTGCCGAGGTCCAGCCACGATTGGTGATGTAGCTGCACTGAATCCAGGGATGGCTGAGGATGCCCGTCGGGTCGATGCGAAGGTAGGGGTTGGGCTGCAGCAGCGACCGAATCAGTGCCTTCACATTCTCCGTCAGCTTGGGCTCCCGGGGGAATGACCACCGCCGTCTGAACTGCGCCTTGTAGATCTCCTCCGATGAGTTGAGGTTCCGGAAGGGCGTGTCACCGCAGAGCAGCTCGTAGAGGAGGACGCCCAGCGCCCAGACGTCTGCCTTGAAGGCGTCGAACTCAAAGGGCTCACTCTCAAAGTCAGGGTAGATGTCACAGCACAGTATCTCCGGCGCCATGTAACTCTTAGTGCCCGCATAGCTGCCCGCCTTCATCTGCCCCACCTTCCGCTTGTACATCTGCCTGGAGAGGCCAAAGTCGGTGATCTTGGCAATCTTCACTCCGGGCTCAGTTTTTGAGTTGACCAGTAGAACATTGTCTGTCTTTAGATCACTGCCAACAGAAAACGGATCAAATTAGAGCACAAAATAAAAGGAAAATTATGTTACCGGTGAGCAATGCCGAATGAGTGAAGGTAGAGAACGCCCTTGAGAATCTGCACAAAGTACTCGTAGGCAGTGGGCTCCTTTAGCTTTTTAACGTCTCTGAGCAGGCCATACAGTGATCCCCCATCAGCGAACTCCATTATCAGGTAGGCCTTGTCGTCGATGACAAAGTGGTCGTACAGTGTGATGATGTTCGGATGTGGGTACTTCTCCAGGACGTACACCTCGGCCTTCAGACAGGAGAGCAGCCTCTGCCGCTGATTGCGGTCATAGGTCATCACCTTAACGGCCACATTGCGAACGGCAGATCTGGGGCTGGCGGGGGAAGTGCCAGTGGACGTAGTGCTGGTGGTGGTGGTGGTTGGGGCAGTGGTGTTGGCGGTGACCGAGGGTGACAGCTGATAGCTCGCCCGCCACACCGTCCCGTAGGCACCCTCGCCGATCTCCTCCACCAGTTTGTAGCGCTTCCTCTTCAGCATCTCCGCCGGCGAGCGCAGGTTCTCTTTGGGCAGGTCGATGATTTCGGTGATGGTATTTTTGTCCACCCTCGACATTGACCGTTCGTCCTCGTGCAGGTTCACCTGATACCGGCGGTAGTTGATCTGGTACTCCCTTCTGAGGGCCTCTACCTCGGCGATGTACTGCCGGTTTAGTTCACGCGCCGCAGCCAGGTCGACGACACTCAGCGGAGACCTCGACTGCAGCGGTGGTCTCCTTCCTTCAACGGTGGTGACAGAGGTGTTACTGATGGTCGAGGCGGTAGGGCTATTGCTGGGGCTGTTGTTGATCGGCGATGATCCCTTCATTGGTGGTTTGGGTGATTTCTTTACTTTATGTTTGGGAAATAATGAACAGAAAATGTTAAAGCGGTTGTAGACAGTTCAAAGTCACCTATTTACTTTGGTGCCGACGCTTCCTACACAAATTCAGACACATTAGCGCTGAAGTGTGTACAGTGAGGTGGTAGAAAAAGGGAAAACCAACCAAAGTGGAGCTTGTGGGTCATTTTATTGACGCAAAGCTCAACAATGCGTCAGGCTTCACAAAGTTCTAAAAATTCTCATTTTTGTCCTGTCACGATTTTTAATTTTTGAGCAATTGCACAAATGGCAAACTCCCTGACGGAAGTTTGCCTTCTCCGATTGAGGATGACAAATGGTGTCCACTCAAATGGTGTCATGTTGACAGAGTGTTTACAAGTGGGAAGACCATGTGAGTGCGCTTTGGAAGTCCAATCAGGCGGCGACTGCAGCGCCAGTGCAGGCCACAGTGCCACAGTGCACTGGCACTGCGCCTCTGTTGTGGTCGTCGTCGTCGTGGTAGTGTTCAGCTACGTCAGTCCTTCTGGTAGTCCTGGCTGGTGCTCGCTCTCTCACTCTGCAGACGTTCACGGTTTGGATGCGGCTGCAGTTGGGCAACAACATCGACACCAGCAGCAACAGCAAGAGAAACACCATTACTCATCACAATACTCACCAGTTCATTCGCCAGTTCACACTGTCTGATGGAGTCACTGGAGAGTAACACCTTCTTCAGCGCTTTAACGGTACGGGGAAGTGAAAGAGCGGGAGATTCTCATCTTCGTTTTATGATTTGCCGAAATATTCCTGCTTAAAACTGACATTTAAAACCCAATTTAATCTGCACAGACAACCTTCAAAAAACGATATCAGGAAGTGATCTCCAACTGCTACCACCTCTGCGTTCCTCGAAATCACTCGTACGATGTGAAACAACTCAACGATCGGTTCATTACCTCGCACATTCTAAAGCCCTCGCCACTGCTAAAGTCGTAAGTGCAGATAGATCTCAGTGGTGCTCTGAATTAATTAACTCTGCTGCCTTCCAATCGACAGGCACTTTCTGCCGTACAACAGCAAGCAAAACTTTCACGTACAGATAGATCATGGCTACATTCGAGTTACCAAAGGTACAGAGCTACATTGTCCAATTTTCTGAACATTACCTAACACTCCATTCTTTTAGGATTCGGTGATCAGAACCAAACGAAAATTAAAATACTGAACGAGGAGACGGCGTACAACAGCGTGAGTAGCTAGAAAGAGCCTTCCCTTGATAGGAATGAATGCCCTACTATTGATCATTTGCAGGCTAATCAGACGTACAGTATCTTTATCATCGAATCACCGCTCATCTCATCGCTAAACTGCAAACTCAATTACGAAACGCAGCAGTCAACCTCACAGGACGTTCAGCTGGTGTCGTTCGACGAGTAAGAGCGGGGGGGGGGCTGCTCTCCCCAGAGAATACTGAGCATGTGATCTGATAGGCCAACACTAACTAACTGTGACTCCTTTTCTTCCACTCCTCAGTTGCCAAAAGTTTCTCCGGCAAGTGTCGCCCAGCGAGCTGAGCGCCCTTCAGTGCAAGATAACTCAGCTGGTGAAGAGCTACATCCTCCTGCCTGATTACATCGCCGATCTGACGAAACGGCTGAAGCAGCTGATCGACGCCTCCATCGAGGCCTTCGCCTCCGCTCAGCAGTGCCACAGTGGCAAATCAGCGGCGGGGGCGGCTCAGGAGCGGCACCGGACTGGAGGCCGTCCAGGAGCGGCGGCGCCAGCAGTGAACCGAGAGCTGCTCTGCTCCGTCGTCGAGAGCTACTCAGTAGGTCTCATCTACGAGCCGCTGATTGGCCTCATTCGCAAGAAGCTCGCCGCCGCAGACCGGACATTTGTCCAGCGGGCGAGGGCACTGAAGGGAGAAGGCGGTGGCAGCAGTAATGGCGGAAAGCAGCAGCATCAGCAGCAGCAACAGCGCCTGGCGCCGAGCGCCTTTGGCGCCCAGGCCGCCTTTGAGCGCTTCACCATTCCGCCGACGCTGGTGACCGCATTTGAGGAGATCAGCGCCCAGGTGACGCCCCTCGCCAAGGTGGACGCCATGCGGCGCACCCTGGACGCAGTCAATGACGCCCTCAAGCGGACGGTGGACGAGCACCGGTCGCCGCTGGACGCCCACCCGGAGACGGTCTTCATCATGTCCGACGACCTCATTGCGGCGGTCATCTGCGTCCTGGCCACCTGTGAGCCAGTGGCCTTCTGCGCCGACATTGAGTTCATTCACTCCTTCAGCTGGTACCTGCCGCAGAACAGTGAGCTGGGCTACTCGCTAGTCACCTTCGAGGTCGCCAAGGAGTACATTCAAAATCACACGCACCAAAACAGCAGCAGTGGCAGCAGCTCGACAACAGCTAGACAGCAACAGCCAAACAGACAACTCTTCGGAGGTGGCAGTAGTAGCAGTTCGAGCACACGACCGCTGTACAATCGGCAAAAAAGTCTCCCGGTGGCCTACTCGCAGTTTTCCCACCTGGACAAGGAGATCGACAAAATCAGCCAAATGCTGGAGAGCTCCGATTTGCAGCTCAAAGAGCCGAGCCCCCTCTCCAGCAAGGCCAAAAATGAGGAGTTAGGGTAAGAAGAGTGCTACTTCTCTCACCTCCTTTTCAGTCATTAGCAATAACAACCATCTTTTTCTTTATAGCGGCTTTTTTGGATCATTCACCGGGGACTTTTTAACCATGTCTGGTCATAAATAAAAAACAAATCACCTACAGAAGACCATTGACTTGCCTCACAAATGCCTCCTCAAAAGCGCGTTCTGAGAATCGATCCACCGAGGCGCGTGCTTTAGTACGAATCGACAGAGCTTCCGCCGCAGAGAGTGTGACTAATCGGTAGAGAGTGTCGGCAAAGCTGTCAGCATCTTCAGCAAAGAAGCCCGTCTCGCCTTCGCTGATAATGTCCAGCTTTGGCCCGGCAGAGTTGTGCGTTAGTGTCAGCAGACCTGAAGCGAGAAACTCGACGACGCTAATGCCAAAGTGCTCATTGATCATTGTGTGAATGGCGATGCTCGCCTTGCCTAGCAGCTTTTCCATGTCAACGTACGGCAGGTTCACCTTAAAGTCAACGTGCTGTTCTACCTTCAAGTCGACACACAACTGCTTCAGGTCTTCCACCAGTTTCTTGTCACCATCATTTCGGCAGCTGCCAATTACGTTCATTTTCGGCGTAGTGTTTACGCCATTCTCTCGCAATCGCTTCAACAGGCCTGCAAATGCTTCAATTTGCGTTTTGTGGTTCTTCTCAGGCCTGAATTGAGCCATTGAGATGATCAAGTTGGGATCTCGATTTGTTAGCGGAAGTTTGGTCAGGTTTGATGTGTTGCACGGTGGGTAGACGGTGGTCACTGGGGTGTTCCAAATGCCGACCAAGTGATTGCGAGTCCAACTGGAGTTGGCCATGATTACGTCGGCACACTTTCCGGTCATTTTGTAGATGAATGCAAAAGCAGTGTAGTAGTACAGTTTAAGCTTTGACAGAAGAGGATTTCGGGCGATGAATGCTCGGTTGTTGTAGTTGGCCACATTACCTGCTACGAGGTTCAGCATGTCGGTGCTAACAGTAGGATAGTGCGTGTAGGAAACTACTTTAGAGGCTGACAACAACTTGAACAGCGGATAAATAAAGCTGGCACCGGAGGTGTCGACTAGAACGTCTGGCGGACACTTGAAAAGCGCCTCAAAGCCCACAATCATAGAGCCGATGTTCTGCAGCAGAATCGTCACCACTGGGTACAGAGAAGGTGACAGTAGAGCAACAAATTGCAGCTTGACAAAGTAAACCTGAAACTCGGTGTTGATTTGAAAAGTGCTCTTTGCTTTGCGAAGAATTTCCGCCGGCTCGGCATCGTAGTTGTCTGTGTGTCAATAAAAACAACACTGATAAGAATTGTAAGAAATTATTTACATCTAACCGTACCTGAATAGATGATATAGGAATGCTGTGGATACTTTTCATTTAGTACCTTTAACGCTTGCCAGAGAACTCGCTCTCCGCCGCCGCCGGCATTGCAATAAGGATGAAAGAAGGCGACTAGTTTTCCAGAGTCTCCGGCGGTCCGTCCAAATTGAGATCGAAGGTCGTTTCGCTTTTGTTTAAGGTAAGATCGAAAGCTGATGACGACAATGGCAATGATGAGAGGAAGAAGGGCCACAAAAAGGGCCATTTTCAATCTTTAATTTGCTCTTCCTTTTAAAAAAGTGCAATCTCAAAGAAATATTTGAAAAAATGACATCATCTTTGTTTTGCATCAAGTCTAAATAGCGGCACGTTGCGGCGACAGTCGATACAGGAGCTAGCTTTGTACGATAACAACAAAAAGTAGGGCGAACGCACCTTTTCTTCCGTTGCTCCGTACATCTCTTTCTGTTTCTGGAACGCGTAGCAGTCACAATGCAGAGTAAGTAATCATCCCCTGATTCGTCACATTTAACCGGTAACCGCTTTCACTGTTCACCACTAAACAGACATTGAACTGACGTACGTTTCCTGGGCCACCACGGCGCTGGCCGTTGGCTATGCGGTGTACCTGACGATGAAGGCTCCCAGTGAGGATCCAGCTAAAAAGCGCCTTAACGCCAAGATTCAACTTGATAAACCAAAGGTGGTCGACACGTGTGACATTGAAGATATCAAGGGAAAGGGGGTCTTCTGTCGATGCTGGAAGTCGAGCAAGGTAAGTCTGGCTGATGGTTTGTACAGTACACGCACTCTTATCATTAACTGTTGTACCCGTTGCAGTTTCCGTACTGTGATGGCAGCCACAATGCTCACAACGACACCACTGGGGACAACGTTGGCCCGCTGATTGTCAACAAGAAGTAGTAAAGAGCTAAAGAGAACTTCTTCCATTTTAACAAGATGCCATAACAGCAATAATGAAGAGGCTGAACGCCTATTTTTGCTAGTAAGTTACACACTTCTATTCTATTCCCGAAAATTCCTCATTGTTCCACATATGTGTCAAATTACTGTTGTTCAGCTATTCGCACAATAAAATACACACAATAAAAGTCTTTATCATTGTCACAAAATAATAGTTAATGTATACAATTATAAAATTCAAAACAGTTTTCGCCCTATTCGATTGACAATGTGCAGTGATCGCCAGATCGTGTTGCTTGTGTTGTTAATTGTGTAATGATATTGAATTTCCTCGCAACGCACTCTTAGTAAACTCAAAAAAAAATCACCCAGACCATGATGTTGTGTTCTTACAGTGAAAGAGTGAAGAGAGAGAAGAGAGGAGAAAACTGGTCTCAAAACTGGAACTGCTGGTTCGAGTTGACGTCAGGCTGCTGGTCACCGCCGTGGTTGTTGGCAAAGGTGAACTGAGAGCGCTCTCCTTGAGGCACTAGATCAGGAACCTCGTCGTCAGCCGCGTCTATCGGAAAGTATTTATCTGTTTAAATCGAAAAAGAGGGTATTAGAAAGTGAACAAGAAACACTTTGCTGTGCTGTACAAACACACACACAAACACTTACCAACAATATCAAAGCAGAACTGATACACTTCGGAGTTTTCGTGATTCTGAAGAGCCTCGATGGTGTCCAGTCCGCCGCAAGCCTCAATTTGATCGGCCACCTGCTGGTAGTTCTCCTTGTAGTGGCCGAGAATCTTCAGCAGCGCCTCAAGGAGAATGTGCATCACTTGAGTATCTTTGACGACCAGGAGGGCGCAGATGGGCTCGACCACATTGTGCTCCACCAGGTACTTCACCTGCTCCTCTGTGCCATTGAGTGTCATGTTGGAGATGGCCCAGGCGGCCTCGCGCTGCATCAGAAAGGTGCCCTTTGCCAGGTACTCAATCACCGAGGGGATGATGTTCTGATCGATGAGCATCTGAATCTGCTCCACGCGGCCGGCGGTGATGTTGGAGATGAACCAGAGAGCCTCCTTCTTTATCCTCTCCTTGGGGTGGGCGAGCAGAGCGGGCACGTAGGCGAGCGCATTGTTGTCGAGGACGACCTGCGTCTGGTCGTCGCTGCCGGTGGCAATGTTGCCAATGACGCGCAGCGCCGGCGTCTGAATCTTGGACTCCTCGTGGCTCAACAGTGGAATGACGTACTGGATGATGTTCGAGTCAATGACCAGCTGAATCTGTTCGCCGCCGTGGTCAGTGATGTAGGAGATCGTCCAGATCACGTCAATCAGAATCAGGTGGTCACTGCAGCTGGTGAGTAGGTAAAAGAGAATGGGCAGCAGCTCCTTGATTACTTCAATCGACGGCGGTGGGTTCTTATTTCGGCAAATGTTGACAATGACCCAAGTGAGATTTCGCATAAAGGTGATGTTCGCGTTGGTGGTAAAAAGACGAATGAGCGGCTCAACGAGTCCATGACCGAGGACAAAGTCTCGCAGCTCGGCGCCGTCACCGATGATGTTTCCTAGCGCCCAAACAGACTGCTCGGCGACGCTTTCACTGCTCGAGTAGAGCAGCGAAATGAACAAAGGCACAGCGCCCTCTTCAACGACTTTTCGAGTCTGGCTTGAGTTGCCCGAGGCGATGTTGGTGAGCGCCCAGGCAGCCTCAAATTGCAGCGCCGGCAGCATCTCCGGCTTAAGCGCCTCCACGAGCACGGGCATAATTCCCGCCGCAATGATCTCATCAATCGGCGGGTTCTTGTCTGTGGAGAGCATTTTCCGGGTGGCCTTGATGGCGACCAGCTTTTCATCCAAGTCAGGACTCATTGCCGCCATCACAATAGAGTGCAGATCTTCCGGAGTGAACTTTTGCTCCACGGCCGCCTCCGAGGCATCGACACTTTCATCATCTGAAGCAATCTCCACATTTCGTTTCTTCAGTAGCGCTTCGTCTCGTTTACTCTTTCGCAGCTCGACGTTCACCTCATTTCGTCTCCGTCGCAGATCGTCCAGATCTTTGCCTCGATTCTTGTAGTTTTTAGAATGTGAGTTATCCATGACAATTGGTAGCTTGTACAGAAAGTACAAAGGAAAGATGCGTAGTACAGTGGAAAAGTGAGCGTACACTGAACGCTCAAGTGGCAGGAAATACAGCTGATGGCGACGGGGTGCCCTAGAGTAAAGTGAAGAGGATCGCCGCGGTAGCCGTAGTGGTGGTGGTGAGTATCTGTAAGGTATCAGTCGACGGTGATGAGATGAGTGGAGGGGCGGATGTGTGACACTGGCAGCACGTCTGGAAGGGATGCTTGCCTAGATGAGCTTGAAACACTTCGGCAATGAATGCGTACCGAAACAAAACTTGCTCGTTGAGTTTTAGAAGTGAAAGCAACAATCTGCGAAGTTGAATGCTGCTGCTGCTGCTATCATCAAAGCAAAAAAATTGCATGAGCCGCTGCTGCAGCCTGCCAGGCGCACCGACCAGCCTCTGTCAAAATAGAAAACCGACAGTTGGCGCTAAATAGCCGCCTGCCAACTGAAAGTGAGACTGGCGGCGTGCGCGCGCTAAATCACCAGCACAACCGACAACGTAAGAAAGCATCGCTTCCAAAGGACTTTTATTTAGATATTGCAGAGAACATAGAGATTTTATCAGCACTTAAAAACGTAGTTTAAAACTTTGAAAAAAGATAAACTTAACAACCATTGGTCAGACTGGGCACGGCAAGAAGGAAAGAGGGAGGAAAAACAGTTATGGGACATCATGAGGAGAAGGAGGGGAGGGCGGAAGTAGCGCCCAAATGAGGATGCAATGAAGGAGAGAGAGAGTAGGGAAGAGTAAGTTTCTCCGGAAGAACAAAAAGAAGGTGTGTGCGAACGACTTGGTTAAAAATAAATATCGGGACAGCGTGACCAGTCGCCCTTCTCCTTGCACGCCCAGTACTGGTCGGTGAAGGTGTGCACTGGGTTGCCCGTCACCGGGTCCTTGCCCTGCTTAAACCACACTGGCTCGTACGGCTGGTAGCCCCGTCCCTCGGCCGCCGCCCTCTCCGCCTCCTCCTCGCGCAGCCGGCGAGCCACTCGCTGCTTGTCCTCCAGTCGTCCCTTCGCATCATTCGCCTCGTCCCACTTTGCCTCCTCCATCAGCCGCTGGTCGGGTCGAAGGCGGCTGTCAGTGGGCGCCACGCCCTCCTCCGGTTCGTTCAGCTGCACCGCCAGCACCGTCATGTTGTACATCTTCTCGTACTCGGCCCTGAAAGCAATGGGAAATGGTGAAAAGTGCTTTTGGTGTGGTAACAAACAGTGGATACTTACGGCGGCAGCACCCGTTGCCAGATCTTCTTCAGCGTGCCCGTCTCCACCATTGGCTTCGAGCCCTTGCTCAGCTTCGGGCTGGAATTGATCACTTTGGCGGCCTCCATCTTGTTGTCCCAGGTGCCCTGCAGCACCCACTTGATCTCGTCGTTCTTGTTCACCACTGCACCGGTGACCTTCGTTTATCACATTCCAGTGTTAGTCAGCACTTTTGGAAACAGGCAACAAGCCACAAATCAAGCACTCACCTTGCGAGGCACATCACGGGAAAAGTAGCTGTACGGCTGAAAGTTGAGGTGACAGGTGTCGCCCGTCTTTTGATTCTGAGAAAGAGTTCAACCAGCAAAAATGAGCGTACTGTTAAATGACATTAAGACAGTCTCTTTCCTACCTGAATCTGCATCTCTCCGTGGTTGTCCACCCACAGCTTGCCGACGATAATGTTGTGCACCGTGGTGGTCACCTTCTTCCAGGTGTAGTGATTGCCGTTGGTGANGCTGTACGGCTGAAAGTTGAGGTGACAGGTGTCGCCCGTCTTTTGATTCTGAGAAAGAGTTCAACCAGCAAAAATGAGCGTACTGTTAAATGACATTAAGACAGTCTCTTTCCTACCTGAATCTGCATCTCTCCGTGGTTGTCCACCCACAGCTTGCCGACGATAATGTTGTGCACCGTGGTGGTCACCTTCTTCCAGGTGTAGTGATTGCCGTTGGTGAACTCGAGGTGCGTAATGTCGATCGGCGTCACCGAGAGGTACTTGCCGCGGAACTTGCTGGTCATGGCGAACTCGCGCCAGCAAACCCAGCCGCGACCCTCGCAGTGCTGCGCCAGCATGGGCGGGTGATGCATCACCTGAAAGTTGGAAGGGAAATCAGCAAAGGACGTTGTGATAAGTTCTAGTGATTACCTGTTCAGAGATGCACCTCCATCCGAGGTCATCTCGTCGATCACATTCGTAGGTCTCCCCGAGAAGTGGGTTGAAGGGTTTGCTCGTTCGATTGGAGGTGGTGGCGTAACAAGAGACGCTGAAGGCGGCCACGTACACTAGCTGCTCAAATGCGTCCTCGATGGTAGCGGCCTTGTGCAAAATGTCCGCGTACTCAAACTCCTCAGTCATTCGCTGCAGTAAAGAAGTAGTTTAGACAAGTCAAATTTTACAACAAACAGAACAACTAACCTGAAGCATGGACAGCGGCTCGTTAAAGTTGACCGGCATGGGAATCTTGGTCAACTCCTTGCCGATGCAGTTCTTCATGATCGACCACAGGTTGAGACTGTGCGAAGGTCGATAGGGAATCCGCGTCCGCCTCTGTCGAATGGAGGAGGTCTTCATTGTGCCGTTGGCGAGAAGGGCAGTGAGAGTGGTCAGCTGGTTTTGCTGTTTGTTGTTGTTCGCTGACGCGTTTGCTGTGCTCAGAGCGGCAATATTTACATGATCACCATCGTCGGTGGTGGCGGCTCCATCTACGGTAGACTTGGAGCGCGTAAAGACGTCCACTTGAATGTCCTCCTCCGAGGAGTACACATCGTCTTCGTCCTCCTCGTCGTTGCTATTGCCACTGTCGTTGTTCGAGTTGGAGACGTTCCGCTTCCGCCGACGAAGCTTCCTCTTTGGTCGTTGCTGTTGTTGGCCTTTGTTGCCGCCACTGCTGCTGTTGCTGCTGTTGACCTTACCACCACCGCCACCACCAGGACTGTCAGTACCTGCCTCCTCGGCGGTGGCCGTGCTCTCCGAGCTCGAGTTGACCGCCAGTGAGGAAACAGCTGCAGCAGTGGGCGTGTTTGAGGAGTGAATTCGATGCGCCTTCCCCGGAAAGGTGACCACAAAGTCGAGCGTGTTCTCCTCTGCATCGTAGAATTCGTCTTCCTCGGTGGTCTCGGTGTTGCCTCCGCCGCCAGCAGTGCTCTGCTCTGGATTGCCCGCCTGTTGCTGTTTGATGGCACGCTGCTCCAGGTGGGAGTGCTGCTTCGCCAGCTGCTCCACCAGGTCCTCCAGCTTCAGGCGCGACTCGTGCTCGTGGTGCAGCAGCTTCTGCAGCTTCTTACAGTGCGACTGGGCGCAGTTCATGTACTCCAGACTGGCGTTGGTCATCGCCGAGGAGGTGATGCGGTACAGCGTGGCCCGCTCGTTGATCGCCTTGCTCTTCGAGATCGCCTCACCGGGGTTGTCGATCTGCTCCAGCTCGGCGAGCGACCGCTGAAGGGCACTGCCGTGCTTGGCCACCACGTCTGCACAGGTGGTCAGGTTCTCCAGCTTCGCCTGCAGCGACTTCAGAATCGACTGCAGCTCGTTCTTGTCCGCCGCCAGGTCGTAGTAGTCATCCTCGTCGGCGTCCATCTGCCGAATGGCGCGCACCTTGGCCAGCTCCAGCGAGGTTACCCACTTCTGGCGTTCCATCTCGTTCGCCGCCCGCAGATGGTACGTCTGCGTGCCGCCATTGGCCACCACAAAGTTGCAGCTGTCTTCGGTGTGAATGACGGCGGAGACGAGGCGAATGGCCCCGCGACAGTTCTGACTAAACTCCATCGGGTTTCTATATGGTGTTGAAGTTGGTGAGAATCACCACGAGTTAGCCACCAAATTGAGACGCATCAACAAAAAGCACATACCGATAGTAGCTGAGCTCGCCATTGGCGAGGACGAACCACCGCTTCTGGTAGCCCTTGATGTAGTTGGTCCACTTGGAGAGCCATCCCTTCAGCTCGGGCTCAGCAGGGCCTGACCTGACGACCACGGCCGACGTCGTGGAGGAGGTTTCAGAGGTAGACATCAGTCAGATGGATCAGTGGGAGCGTTTGTGAGCCCAGAGCACCAGTTGCAGGAGGCAGCCACAATCACAGCCACAAGAAGAACGGGAGCCAAGCCCAGGTGGGGATGGTGATCGGTAGAGGTGAGACTGCTGCAGCCGAGCACCCGAAGAGAGAGAGAGAGAACTACTGAAAGCTATGTCAACAGTAAACACAATCAGCTGATTAGAGCACTAGAGCAGAAAGATGAATCACAAGACCAGTCGTGTAGATCTGCTTCTTCTTCCTCCTCCTCTTGCTGCTGCTGTGGTAGTACTCGCAGCGATACCAATCGACTAAAGAGCCAATCCGCCAGTGAGTGATGATGCCGATGCTGGTGACGGTAAATTACCTGATAGGACACTGGGAGGAAAGGGAGGGAGAGAGAGTGAGTTGCGAGAACAATGAGTAATCACGTCGCGTTAAAGTGAGCTGTGCTGTTGTGCTGACTTGGCACCTTCACCACCAACCATAGCACTTGGAACGCAGCCTCTTTGTTTACCATCGGCGTTCCAGATGTGTGTTGATGTGCACACCTTCAGCCAGAGCAGAGAGTGTCGCTCCTGGCGATGTTGACGGCGATGGACCAGAAGAGCTGGAGTGGCAGTGAGAGCTGCCGTCTCTTGCTACGAAGATATAAGAAGATGAAAGAAGGTAGAAGAAGAAGGAGGAAGGCAGCAGTACGAGTACGACAGCGGCGGCGGACTGTACGCACTGTGCGCTGTCCTGGTGGCTCGCAGTACACAGACTTATCTCTCGGCTGCCTATACTCTCTCACTCTCTCGATCTCACTCTCTCGTTGCCTTCTTCGACGACCAGCAAAACACACACAAACTCACTCTCTGTCGACGAGACAGCCGACGCAGCACATAACTTACAGCGGCACTGCTGCTGCATCCTCATCACATCGCACTAGCCGCACTAGATGTCGCAAAAGCTCTTCTTCTCACGAGAAGTATACTCTCAGCTGAGATTGTAGAAGACACAAAATGAACAAAAATGCATGAACATTGTACTGTTTGAAGATAACAACTATGGCACACGGTAGTAAGGGTATCGGTGGCTTGGGAAAGTAGTGTAAAAGGCAAAGTCTCTTGAAGTATGTATGCATAGGGGATGATGATGAGGGTGATGATGATGGATGATGATGCATCACATGAATATCGAAGAAGAAGGAGAGCAGTAGTCATCCGAATTATTATTGCTGTCACTAGAGAGTAGTGGAAAGCTCTGCTTCAAGCCACGGCGGAATGGCCACTCGAAGGCGGTTCAGCAGCTTCGAGAGAACAACATTGTGGTGGAGAAAGTAGCTGTGGAGGTACTTGGCCGCCTGCGGCTCCATCTCCGGGTAGAGGCGGCCTTTGCTCTTCCCCAGACACTTGGTCCCATTGGCGGCGGTCACCTGACAGAAGAAGCCCTTCTTCGCGTCAAAGCGCAGCTTCTGGCGGTAGTCGACGTGCGGCTCCAGCTTCAGAAAGGGCTGCACCCGGTCCATGACGGCGATTGGGTCCAGTCGAAGCTGGTCGCCGTCGATGATGTGAATCTGTTAAGAAGGGAGTTGTATAATTTGGAAAAGTTGGTCAACTATTATCCTCTGTGCATTACCTGCTGAGGTGGGTAGTAGGCGAGCCACCGTTCGAGGTGCACTGCGTAGGCCCCCGGACCGAGGCACCGACTGCGCAGATCTCTTAGCCGCTTGAGCGTCTTCTCGCCCAGATTGCCCCGGTGCTGCACGTCGAGGCTGACCACCTCGTAGAAGGTAAAGTTGAGGGCGGCGGTGTGGTTGTGCGCCCGCATGTGCTGGTACCAGGAGTAGGCGCGCTTCAGCGGACTGAGCAGTATGACGATCAGCTTGGCGTGCGGCAGGAGCGCGTGCGCCCGCATCGGCACCATCTCCCCGTCGAAGTAGGTGCTGCTCTTCTCGAAGAAGTACGGCGGCCCCTCCTTCGCCTCTGGCGGAACTCGCTGCATGAACTTCTGGTGACCGGTGATGCTGTTGTTGGTGGCCGCAGCCACCGCCGCCGCCGCTATGGCCGGACTCTCCGTGGGCAGGACGAGGTGGGTGTCGTTGGGCAGCTGGAAGAAGTCCATGTACCAGTCGATGCCGCGCAGGTAGTGCTGGCCGCCGCTGAAGAACTGCACCTCCTCGAAGGTGGTCGCACTGGGCCGACTGGCCACCACCGAGGGGTGCATCGTCAGGAAGGAGTAGAGTGCCGTGGAGCCCGTCTTCTGCGGGCCGATGATGAGAAACTGCGGCCATCGAAAGCAGGACTTGCCCGCCCACCAGATGTTGTAGTGCCGCCGGTCGTCGCAGGGATTCCGCCAGATGGGCTCCTTCTCCTCGGTGTACGTCAGAAAGTACCGCTTGGCCAGCTGCAACGGCGGCAGCGTCAGCAGCTGCAGATTGGTCCAGCACTGCACGAACTTCACCGCCGACTCGAAGGTGTACAGGGCGAGGCGGTCATTGGCGTAATTGGACTGATGCGTCATGAAGACGTTCACCTGGTTGAAGATGAAGGCGTAGAAGAGGTCGCCGCCGAAGATGCTGCCCTCCAACTTCTCCCGCCCTCCGGGGTAGCGCTCCAGGAGGATAGTGTGCGTGTACAGGCCACAGGTCTGTCGCGGCAGCACCATAATATCCTCGTAGATGAAGCCTCGGCGCAGGTGGGCCGGCCGCAGATTGGGGTACTCTTCGGTGCTGGTGACGCGCACCTTCCACACCTTCTTCCAGGCGTCGTACAGCTGCTGGTGAACGGGGAAGACGCCTGAGTGGTGCGGCGAGACGGTGTACTCCCCGGTGACGGGCAGGCCCCTTGTCTGGGCAAAGTCTCGGTTGAGCAGCATCTCCGTTTCAATCACCGTCATGTTGGTCGTCAGGTGCGCCTGACTGTGCGAGAACATGTGACAGAACCAGCGGAACTGGCTGGCGTGCTCTGTTGAGAAGAAAGTTGGCTGATAAGCAAACTAAAAACATCAAATTGCACTTACGANTCAATCACCGTCATGTTGGTCGTCAGGTGCGCCTGACTGTGCGAGAACATGTGACAGAACCAGCGGAACTGGCTGGCGTGCTCTGTTGAGAAGAAAGTTAGCTGATGAGCAGATTACAAACATCAGATTGCACTTACGGATTATGTAGTCATCACCGTCGTTCTCCTCGGGAAAGCCTCGGTGGTAGTACTTGCCGGAGAAGCCGAGGTTGAAGCGAAAGTCAGGAATAAGCTGCTGCAACCGCTGCTGGAAGTCAATCAGCGCGTCAACATCGGCAGGCCTCATTCTGGTGCCGCGCTCGCCGACGAAGATGTCGTCAATGTCAATTTGAATGTAGCGCTGCAGGGGCAAACTAAGGCGACCATTGGAGAGATATGTCAAGGAGTCGAGGAAANTGTGACAGAACCAGCGGAACTGGCTGGCGTGCTCTGTTGAGAAGAAAGTTAGCTGATGAGCAGATTACAAACATCAGATTGCACTTACGGATTATGTAGTCATCACCGTCGTTCTCCTCGGGAAAGCCTCGGTGGTAGTACTTGCCGGAGAAGCCGAGGTTGAAGCGAAAGTCAGGAATAAGCTGCTGCAGCCGCTGCTGGAAGTCGATTAGCGCGTCAACATCGGCAGGCCTCATTCTCGTGCCGCGTTCGCCGACGAAGATGTCGTCAATGTCGATTTGAATGTAGCGCTGCAGGGGCAGACTAAGGCGACCATTGGAGAGATATGTCAGGGAGTCGAGGAAGATCAGTCGGTGCAGCCAAAAGTTGAGTCCATTGCCGAAGATGATCCGCCGTATGCCGTCATGTGAACCGTTGTCCTGCATTACCGTCGTCAGCAGGTTTTGCTGGTAGCTCTGCGTGTCCACCGTCAAGTTGTGCTGACCACTCTTCTTCTTCACATCCGAGTACTTGTAACCACCGGGATATGTGTCGACAATGTAGTTGTGGGGCAGCGCCTGGGCGACCGGAAAGAAGCCGGTGCTGTTGGTGGGCAGCACAAAGACTGACCAGTTGTTCTCCGGAACAGCACCGAGACTGATAGAGCCTGGTCGCGCGATGCGAAAAATGTTCGAGTTTGGATTCAGTTGATAATCCTTCAGCTGATAACTTGATTGCACTGATACGGGCAGATTGTACAGACGTCTGATTTGTTTCACATTTTGATATGGAACACCTCCGCCACCACTGTTAGAAGCACTTTTGTGATTGTCACCGTTTTCACTGTTGACGAGAAAGCCAATGATGCCGACGCCAAACTCACGACAGTACTTATCAAGCAGATCACGATTCCATCGGTTCATTCGAAAGTACTTGTGCAGATTCTCGAAGATGATCACCGAGTACTTGCCCTTGTCCATGCTGGTCAAGAGGGGCAAGCTCTTTCCGGCTAGTTCAATTTTGTATCTGCGTTAGAGTTGAGTTAGTTACAACTAGAATCCACACAAACAATCAAACTTACTTGAACCGAACTGCATCGAGCGTTTCAGCAATCTGCTTTCCCAGTCGAGAGTACTGCGTCTCCACAAAAACCAGAATGCGGGCATTTTTGATGCGATTCGACTGTGGTCTTTCAAATGACAGATAGTACTCACTAAAGCTACCAGTCGGTGGAGGAATTCGGTGGCAGTAGTAGTCCGCCTTTGGAGGAATCCTGATCCAGCTGTGAAACTTGGCTGGAATGAGTCCATGAAGGAGAAGGTAGGTGACGACGGTCAGAACGATGACCAGCAGAAGAAGCTGCCTCACTGATAGTCGGCTGGGAAGGAAGAAGAGCGCCCACTTTTTGCGAACATGCTGGTAGATGATTCGCAGTCGGTGCTGCGGAAGATCATCCAGCAATAGCTGCCTCGATTGCCTGAACATCGCTGGACGGACACCGGTGTGGCGGGGAGCACATCAGAGGACGTGATCTTCAATTATTGCTGAAGAGGTAACTGAAGAAAGTGAAAGGGAAGCTCTGAACTGATCACATTTTCAATGTCAAAGGTACTTCTTCT